GCAGGAATCAGTTTACTTAAGTCAGTGGTTGGCAACCTTGTTAGACTCAAGGCACCCCTTGGAAATTGCCCCTCTTAGCTTTCACTCATTTTTTGACTATGGAAAAATACAAGCAATTCTTCTGTTCCAAAGACCACAACAGATTTTTTCTGAAGGGATGGCTATTTGAAATCTCTGGGTTTGTCTTGTGAATTGTGTAGGTGTTTTCACATTTAATAGCACTAATATTAAGTGGCCCCCCAAAAGGATCTTGTGGCAGCTTCATATGTATACTTAAGTGAATGTGCTAAATGCGTGTATTGCCAAGTGACTAAAAGCCACCAGCAGCATATACAACTTCTCCAAGATTTTTGGTTTGTGTTCGAGTTTGTGGCTTGCTGCAGTTTTCCTCCTCCAACCCTCCAGTCCATCAGTTGCACAGATTAGGATCATCAGGTGCTATAATTCCTTTCCAAAGAGTAGGTGATGGGAAACATAACAGAGCTGTATTTCTTTTTCTTATTTGAAATCTTGGTAAAGCTCAAGACTCAGACAAACACTGACTGAATATGAAGCTTGAGCCAGTACACCTTAACTGCAGTGGATCAAACCCATAAAGATAACTTGTTTGGCAAGTTTCTACACTGCTGTTTAAAATAAAACACATATGCAGCAATCTTGTGAAGTAGTCAGCAGTACAAGGAATATGTTATGTGCTCAGAGTAAGACATTTTTATTTGGGAAGGGGTGTGTCACTTATATTGAGATAACATAAGTATTGTATTTTTAATATCTCCAGTATTAACTATCAAGGTGGATGAGAATAATCAGTACCAAGTAGGAAAAGCTGCATATTAATACTGTAAATTAAAGCTGTTCTCCACCTATAATATTAATTATTGTAAAAGCTCCTGGTGTTACATTTAATTATATGTATGAATGAGGAGTGGTTTTGCTGTTTAAAAATGTAACTGTTTTCCCATTTGGGCTAAATCTTTGGCCTTGCTCACCCTTTGAAGCATCTCTGTGGGTACAGAATATATATGAGAGATGTACTATAAATTCATTTGCACAGTTTTTATTTAAGGAACTGAAGCCCTCCAATGAAAATGCCTGGATCTGAGAAAAAGACGGACGGGTGCTTGAAATTGCAGAGATCTTCCTGCCTACTAACAGGAGGTGGCATGCTGGGAAGTATAGTGTTCAGACTGCCTACTAACAGAATTGCTTCTCTGTAATGGTGGGAGGTGGCAGCGGCAGCCTTTTTAATATGACACAGTGGTAAATTTAGGCTCATTGTATTTCTTTTTATCCTCCTCCTGGAAGCTGCAGCAAGGCAAATAGATGTGGGTGTGTGAGAGCAAGGGACCTGCTGTGCTTCTCCATATCATTCAGAAAAAAAGAGGTGTATATAGCAGTTAATTCTAGAAAAGAAGCATAGCTTTCTAGTTAAGGTGCTGGAATAGACTTGGGGTCTGGGTTCAGTTACTGGCTCTGCCGCAGCCTCCCTGTGTGACCCATAGGTCCCATTACCTATGTCTGTTACCCATCTGTAAAATGGGAATAACATATGAAACTTGCTTGATCTGTCTTGTTCAGTTAGATTTTCTTCTTCAGAACAAAGGTACTACCCCTCTGTAACGTCTAACATAGTAAGGCTGCCATTTTGGTTGAGACTTAGATGCTAGTATTACAGAAATAACCACTCATCCCTCCTCGTCACTCAGATGCAAGGACTTCTGCTTAGAGGATGTTGAGCCAAGCAACCTAAAGTGCATGTGGTAATGGAAATGGAGCACTGTGGGGGATCAGAGTAGCAGGCAGGCCACTAGGACCCCCTTGCACCATAGATACACAGCAGGCAACAGTAGCAAATGCACAGGTTGGAGGCAGAAAACTTTCCAGGAAGAATCCGTCTCTTTTTTTTTCACCTGGTCTGCAGTTATATGAATGGGCTGGTTCAGGTCATCTCTGCCCCATTGCGTACATTGATCATCCTCGCTTTTCCTTCACTACTTCAAGCTCCCCAGGGTTAGTCTTTCAGTCTTTCTGCTCTTCTTCCCCAAGTAAATAGACCTTTGCCTTTTACCTTTGCCTTTTCCTTTATTTCAACTGAAAATATTGTAATGTGGATAATTCCCGGGGTTACCTGTTTACAGAAGTGCTATTTCTGATTTATAATTTAGTTTTAGTATTGGCAGTGTGTCCACAAGATTAGATGGTTCAAACTGAAATGTGGAAGCATTTCTGAATTCAAAAGTGATATGTTGATAGAATAGCTAGCAGTATGTAGCATGGTCAGATTGGTATGGATGATGGGGTTTTTATCTTCCTCTGTAGCAGAGGCACGGCCCTCTACCTAGGATCTCGTGAGCATAGATTGACGTTTCATAGAAGCAGGACCTGCTTTACTTGTGACAGCTTAGGGTGTTAGGTCTGTGTTGTGTCAGGGATAATGGTAGTCCTATGTAGAGTTTAGCTTATGGGTTGTCTAGGATGGTTTGGCTGGGGATGATCCTGCCTCAGGCAGGGGGTTGGACTAGATGTGACCTCTGGAGGTTCCTTCCAGCCTGACTTGTCTATGATTCTATGATTTTTATTCAAGATATTTTATAGCAAATGCTAGAAATCTTTTAATTGCAGAATTAAAGCCACACAGTTGGACATTTTTAAAGAAGAAGCAATAGCACAGCTAAGGTTCCTATAGCAACAATAAGTATGCAGCATTATAGTTTCTTCTTTTTTAATGTTGTAGTTTTCTCTATTTCTGTTAAATATACTGCAGACTGGTAAGGTGGCCATTTCCCTCATCCTGTACGTTGTACTAGGTTGTGCTTTTGAACTGGATTTCCTTGTTTCTTTTCAAAGAAAAATTGAAGTAGAAGAAACAAATTGCCTCTGCCTAATAATGTTAGTATTTAAATCGCCCTTATTGGGTTTTGAAGCTTACAACTCCATTGAGACAAGTATGGTAGGAAATGGGTGAATTGCTACTGATGCTTGGCAGAAGACTACTTTTCTCTTACCAAGGCAGCAGTGCATCAGGTTACATTTCACTGGGTCTACCTTCACAACAGAAAAAGATTAGGAATGTAATTTTCTTAAAATGAAAGCTTAGAATTTGCAGAATGCAGACCAAACTGGAACTGAGATCTCTGGATACGCGCTCGTGTGCGCTTTCTGTCTCTCACGCTCTCTCTTTCTGTGTCTCCTTCCTTTCTAAACTGAAATAATTTTTGTTTAGTGTTCCTAGTATAATGATGAGGCTTTATCTTTTAATTTTTCCTAGAAGCTTTTCTCCAAGAGACCTGCAGTCTTGCTTGTACAAATCGCTTCATCAGCAATTGCTGTCCTTTCCAAGCCAGCAGGGAAAATGGGGCACATACAGTGTTGCAAGGGCAAGTCTTCATTGAGCTCTGCTAAAATCTCATAATTCCCCTGAATATTCTTAGAAGTGAGGACTCAACCTTATTTATGTCGTTTCCCTCTATAGCGAAAAGCCCCATGTTGTAGACTAACGTGTACCTGTTTATCTGTGGTGGTGCTGGTGGTGGTGTAAGAGTAATGGCTGTAGCAAAACTAAATATGGTAAAAAATAAGCATTCAGTGATTTTGAACTCTGCAAGGGACTCTTCCAATGTTTTCAAACGTGAATGCTTTGAGCTGAGACCCAGCATAAAAAGTTTAATCCCCGAGGGATTTTTCCCCTCTAGGAATTAATGGGCATCTGAAAAAAGGGGCTGTTATATTAAAAATCATTTTGGAGCCTTATCTGTGGTTCTTGCTAGCAAGGAAGGCTGTAATTCAGGTGAGCTACTACTGTCTTGTAAAGAGTCACATTTTCAGCAAGATTTTATTGTGTGATATTGTGTCAGCATATGCAATATATTGGTACAGGTTGTGTCCTGTTTCTTCTTCAGTCTCCTTCCTTCACAAATTGAGGATCTCAGTGCTCTGTACTTTTGTTTCCCCTGTTGAATCTCCCAGGCTAAGTACAGTCTAAAAGGCCCAAGGCTGAATTGATTCAATCTTAGCACATTAGTCTAAACTGTATAGATTGAACCAATAAGCAGCAAACAGACATTCACTTTTGATTCTGGAACTGCAGCCACATGCCTGCAGTGGCCCAGGCCGGAAGCTGCAGGGGCGCTAGATCCCACCTCCCTGCTCAGCTGAAGCAGGCAGCTTGGGCCATGGCTAGCCCACTCACCGTGCAAGGGGAGGTTCAAAGCATCCTGGGATGCTGGGGGGCTATGAGTTGACTTGAATCTGGAGGGGTTCTGGGACAGAAATTCAATAAATGGATTGAACCTAAATCAGTTAAGTCTGATACTACATCCATCCAGGTTTATCTTAAACTGGTTTTCAGCCATTTTGAAAGCAGTTTATGTGCACTGAACTTCTGTTGTGTTACAGATTTGAACTGGTTTCTGATCATACTGATTATACTACTTCATGTGTAATTTCTGTCTCTAGGCCCAGTGTGTGGGGCTGTAGTGCTTAGGACTTAGCTGCCCTCCTGTCTTATTTATATTTGCCAAATTATGTGGCTTCACTTTTTCTTCCAGGTGTTTTCTGGCTCTTTTGTTCAAATTAATAGTTTGAGATCTGAGTTTGCAAATAAAACTTTTCGTGCATGTTTAATATTCAGAATGCTCCCTTCCCTTTGTTTTGACAGCCTGAGGAAGAGCTTGATCCTGAAGAGAGGGACAACTTCCTCCAACAGCTTTACAAGTTTATGGAAGACAGAGGTAACACATTGCTTAAAATTTACTGCCTCTTGCCTACTGAGACTATTTAAAAATTGCTTCTAAATGCAGCATCCTTGTGTCACTAAAATAAATGCATAATAATAACAAATAGGGTGCAGATGAAAATCTTCTACTGAATTTTAACTGCAACATCTGCTTCAGATACATTTATGTGCATGTGTAGTTAACAGAAATCCAGTCTAAGGAAATAGTTTTTTTTTAGCCTTTAATGGGCTGGACTTAAACTGTCTCCTAGCATCAGTTGGTGTTTTCCTGTGGCAACTAGTGTTGGTAACTGCAGCTGCCGATCCTTGGGATGAACATTGGAAACATTTAGTAGGTTGTAGAACTTGCAGGCACCAGAAGTCAGGAGATGAGCCATTTTTTTTTTTTAATTTTTTTTTTAAGTGTCTGTGCAAGACTATCCTCTTCTCTGACAGACTCTCCTCCAATAATAGGGCAATAGTAGCATTCCTCTGGAGGACAACTTGCATGATCCTGGTTGGCCCAAGAGTTGGAATGGAAAGAACAATTTTTTTTAAAGCTTTTTCTGGACTGAATTAGATCAGGCTATTTTGATCATGATGCCTAGGTACTATGCTGAAAAAATATTGGAAGTGTTTATGCTGCAGATAATTGCTGTTAGCAGAATACGATATTTTGCCTTCCTTCCAATTTCACTCTCCTTACTTCAAATTTCAGTGGCATATGCAGCATGAGCGCTCCAGAGTGTGAAGGCAGAGGGGTTTTTTTCTCAACACCTTGTGGGTTTTGTTAAGTAGCCTTAAACAAGAAAACAAATTAATTTTTCAGTGAATATTGTGTGTCAGTCCCATGTTATTGTCTTATGGCTATATCTTAGCTTTGAATATAGAAAGTTTCACTCCTGTGTTTGCAAGACGGAAAAATATCACAGGCGTGGTGGATTCTTTTTAGGTTTTTTTTCGGTCAAAAATTACTCTGAGTATTTTAGATATATTAACTAGGTTGCATGCATTTAAAATGTTGCTTTCTAGACTTCCCACTCAAATTACGTACCTGGCTGCGAATGATGCCATAGCAACTATTATATTACAGCATGGTGTAGCAGAGTAAGCATGGAGATAGCCAGAATTAAAGGGACTTGATTTGGGAGGAGCAGAGTCAATTTAGTGCTGACTAATTTCTTTTGCCTTTGATAATAAGGTATTTAGTGCACAACCTCCTTAAGGAGAGAAGGAAGAAAAGAACAATAAGAAACTAGACTAAAATAGCAGTTCACCTTTTAAACTAAACTAGGCTTCCCTTTAACTAGGCATATTCCGATTTGTAGAATAAATAGTACCCAACTTGTTCGGTCTTGCCATTTGCCAGTCACAAGTATATCAATGGGTTATGTACTTTTTTTTATAGTAAACTTACAGTGGAGCTCATCTAGTATCACTTTAAAGACCATACCTTGTAAAGCATTCCTGTAAAATGCATATGTTGGGGAAGACATGAATGGAACAAGGGGACAAGCCAAGGAAAGGAACTGTATCTTTTTTGAGCAATCCTAGTTTTATTGCAGTTGTTTTTTCTCTCCTGTTACTTCCCTTCTTTCCTTCTTCCCTCACTCCCTGCTTGAGTGACTTTTAGTCCAGGAAGTAGGGAGAAGCCATGCAAGTGGCTATGGGGACTGGGGAGAAAAAAAAAAAGAGTTTATAGCACAGTGAAAGTGAAGACCCAGTCCAGAGGCAAACTGCTATTCCGTAAAAAAAAAAAATTTTGATTAAACATAGCCAGTTACTTTCAAGGCTGGGTCTTTTATTTCCTTTTGTTTTTCTTTTTCTCCGTTGCAGCAGTGCCCTTCCCACCTGATTGCTCCACATGGTCTTCCCTCAAGGAGGAGGTTTTGAACAGGGCATGCCTGCCAGTATTCCCAAAGCAAAACCCAATACCTTCTAACTTGCATGATTCATATCAGATTGCATGGAGGGAGGGCAAAAGTAGGGGAAGGGAAGCTCCTTTTCTGCCATGACTGTGGGCTCCCCCTTCACAGCTAATTTGTGCTCCTTTCCCTTTTCCTACTCTGTCTTTGTACTCCTCCTTCCTCCACAGACCCCCTCCACCCTTATTTTCCTTTACCTCCACCTTTTGCTACCATTTCACATTCTGGCCCTTGGTCCCCACTTCATTTTCTAACCCACTGTTTGCTGGTTCCCACCCCAAAGCATTCTTTGTACCTGCTACTACTCTCTGCCATTTACTAGGTATTCCCTTAATACCTGTATGATCTCTGATTGGCTTCCCTTTTCTCCCTTCCCCCCACACGGCCTCTTGGGAAAGGGCAGCCAACCAGATAGGGATTTCTCCCACACCTACAGGAGAGTCAGGAGTTAGGAGGCCAATGGTAGCAAACACATTAGTGGTCCACTTAGAACCATACATTGATACAAAACAAGGCAGGTTTGCTGGTTGGGAATTTCTGACTTCGGACACATGATAGATAGACATATCATTACAGACCTTACACTGTAAACATGTGCCAACAAGTAATTGTTGTGGGGTGGAAGATAAGTTTGCTCATTTGCATGATAACTATTTATTTATTTTTATGTTAATTAGGTACTCCTATCAACAAACCACCTGTTCTAGGCTACAAAGATCTTAACCTCTTCAAACTTTTTAGGCTGGTGTTTCAGCAGGGTGGGTGTGACAATGTAAGTGCCACCTTTTTTGTTTAAGCTAAACATACATTAAGATTCTTGACAATTGTTGTTACAGTCTCAGTACATTTATTTCTTAATTATTTTAGTTAACAAAGAACATTTACTTTTCTAGATTGACAGTGGTGCTGTATGGAAGCAAATTTATATGGACCTTGGCATTCCCATTTTGAACTCAGCTGCTTCCTACAATGTAAAAACTGCTTATAGAAAGTAAGTTCTCCCTTGTGTGATTGAAAAATCTTACAAACCTTCAAACCATTTTTGTTAATTCAGTGGAAGAGTAAATAGTAATAGAGAACTAAGTTGTCTACATACCTTTGTTAAAGTGCCTTATTAATTTTTGCCTCATTGCAACCATTGTTATAGATTAAGGCTTGAATTCTGTAGTTTAGAAAGTGGAGCTGAGCATTCTCCACTTCCATTATCTACAACAGGAGTCAAAGAGTGCTCTCAGTGTAGGATCTTGCAGTTGCAGTATGTTAGAACTATACTCATTTTATAGCAGGAAATGAGTATCGTTGGCATCTGATATAGTCATTTGGGATATGACAATTAAATTGAAAATGAAGGTTAGCGTGCAGTCAGTTTGCAACATATGCTTATTTACACAACCTGTGTTTGACCTCAGTTGGATGCCCAATCACCTCTCATTGATGTCTACAATAGTTGTGATGTGGACAGAACTTTGCCTGTATTTATTTCAGATTTGTTAACTTTCTGTCTAGTGCTGGAACCCATAGGTACATTTCAGACATCAAGTCCAAAAATATCTATTAAATCCGTATAAATCTGTAGTTGATAGCTTTATGGTGTCATACTAATAAATAGGAAAAAAAAATTAAGTGTGTACACGCACACATGCGTGCATGTGCATACCTGCTTGCACATGTACACACCTGCAAAGTGCTAATTTTGCCTCTGTCAGTATTTAATTGTTTAAAATTTCTTTAACAGTTTTTTGTTTTTTTTTTTTGTACGTTTTCCTGGAGTTAGTACTCTTTCCTTGTATTTTGCATGCATGAAAACAATGAAGGTTTTTGCAGCTAAATGAAAGAAAATTAAATAAATAATGCTGAAAAAGTGAAGAAACTGTTTGTGTATATCTAGGTATCTTTATGGTTTTGAAGAGTACTGCCGCTCTGCAAACATTCAGTTTAGGACTATCCATCACAATGAACCAAAAGTGGTAGACTTACCGAAACAAGAGGAACCAATGGAGGAAAGTGTAAAAGAGGAACAAGAGATGCCCCCAATAGAAATAAAAAAAGAAGTTGAGGAAAACGATTCCAGCAGTGAAAGTGAAAAGGAGGAAATAGAACTAAGATCCCCAAGAGTAAGTAATCTGTCCTGAGGGGTTGTGTGTGTGTGTGTGTGGGGGGGGTTAATTTATTTATATACATATATGTGGTAAATCAGCAGTGGTCAACCTTCAGCCCTCATGCCACATACAACCCTCAGAGCCCTATCGTCTGATCCTTTGGGTCTGGAAATTTGGCAGTGGGGGAATGGAGGCAGCTTTAAATTGCCTGCTGTCAAATTTTCAGATGATGTGGCCCTACATGCTAAATTAGGCTGGTGCACAGGGTTGCTCTCCAGCTGCATCTGGGGCTGTGGTGGCACACGGCCAGATCTCACCCACAGAACAGCCGTATGCCACTCATTTGGGTTGTGGGACCAGAATACTGAGCACCACTGTGCTAAATGGAACTGGGTCCACTTAACCTAATGTCACTTAACCTGTTAACAAAGATGATTGATGGTGCTTGAGAAATGCCCTACAAGTACAAAGTACAGTAGCTCATATATTGAACATAGGCTTCTGTGAACACAGCCAAGTCACTAGGATCAACTAGGATCCAACAAGTCAACTAGGATCCAGTTCAGATTCATTTTCTTGATGTCCAAAACCATCCATGGGTCAAGACTTCCTAATGGTCACCTTTCCCTGCTCAGTTACGACTTCCATCTACAGTTATGTTTAGGGACCTACCTAATTCACTGCAGAAGTGGGCTGCGCAGCAGCTCCTTGAATCTTGAAAGTTCCCCCTCATACCACCCCCCCCCCCACCAGTTGGTGGAAAGGTCCTGCCACTTGGTCCTGATCAGCAGGGAGACTAACTGCAGTTTTAAATATGGCACCATTTTTGCCTCCCAACCAGTCAGCAACAAACAGCAGGACCATCAGGGCCCATCAGCCAATCAGCTGAGGCATGTGGTGGAACCTGAAAAATTAAAGTTGCTGCTGCGCTGTCCACTTCTGCTGTGAATTCAGGAGATCTCTAGTTATGTTCTACCAGAAATGAAAAACTGTTAGCAACAGAGGAAGACCTTTGATTGTGAATGAGAATTTTCACAAATGCTAGACTCTAATAAATGGTAGATGCCAGGGAGTGTATTGAATAGGGAATAGATCACTCTCTAGAGACTAGAGATACCTGGCCTGATGCTGTCCCTGCATAGCTTCCACTTTTGCCACTATCAAATAGGATAGTGGGCTAGATGGACCATTGGTTTGACCCAGTATGGCAGTTCTTACATTCTTCTGATTTGGAATATAGAACTCCCTCCTGCAAGACATGAATACCATTATGGGCTTTGCAGCTTTAAGTACTTCATGCAAATCCATTTTTGGATGTAACATTCTGAGGACAGCTCTCAAATATATCTGCAAACTAAGCCATTATTGTGTACAGAAAAGGAAGGATACAGTGGTACAGTGACTTGGTTGTGTTCACAGAAGCCCATGTTCAGTATATGAGTTACCATACTGGATGGACACAATACTCCAGCTGGGATCTCATCATCTCTACTCAGATAGAGCGGAAGTTATATTTCTTCTCTACTTGGTGCTGATGAGATCCCAGCTGGAGTAGTGTCCAGTTCTGGGCGCCGCACTTCAAAAAAGACGTGGAGAATCTTGAATGGGTCCAGAGAAGGGCCACAAGAATGATTAAGGGCCTGGAGGACAAACTTTATGAGCAAGGGCTAAGGGATCTGGGACTGTTCAGCCTGGGGAAGAGAAGGCTGAGGGGGGACTTGGTGGCCATTGATAAGTATGTACTGGGTGAATATCGGGAGCTGGGAGAAAAACTGTTCACTAGGGCGCCCCAGGGGAGGACAAGGAGCAATGGCCATAAACTGTTAGAGGATGGTTTCAGGTTGTATGGTAAGGGTGACCAGAAGCTGGAACAGACTTCCCAAGGCAGTGGTGCAGTCCCCAACCTTGGAAGTCTTCAAGAGGAGACTGGAGAGACCCTTTGCTGGGATCATTTGATTTCAGCAGTATTCCTGCCCAGAGCCAGGGGGGTTGGACTGGATCTATCAAGGTCCCTTCCAGCCCTTAATTTCTATGATTCTATGAAAGGAGGGAGCACTTGGTTGATGTCCTTTTTTTATTTGCATGTTGCAGGGAGGAGGGCCATATTAGTAGCTACATAAATAAAATCAGACACCCATATAGTTGCTGTTTATTCAACCAAAAAGAGAATACACATAAGCATTTAAGAAAATGACCAAAGCATAAAGAATCTATACAAACTAAAAATTTGTAATTGCTTAGTATGAAATAGATAAGCAGTATTAGTTGTACAGGTTATTTATACTGCACAGGCAGTCTCTTTTGTCAAGTAAGCTAGCTTCCAAATAAAAGCAAACATTGGTTTCCTTGATGAAGGCTTTTGTGACCAAGTTTTATTAGAAAAATATGGCCATATTAAGTTAAAAAAACTGAGTATAAACTTATTAAAAATGTTGCCTAACCAGCAGCTTAAAACATGTGCTTTACACAGTAATTATTTCTTTATTAAATATATACGCTGTCCTTCCCAAGAAAGGACTCAGGGTGACTTACAGTAGATCAAATAAAGTATAAAGGCAGATAAAATATTAAATAAATAAGATGCAAGCAGTAGCCCAACTGAACCTTGCTTGCTAAATGCCTGCCCAAATAAATATAGTATAAATGTAAGAAGTTAGCTTTTACATATAAGTGTCTATCTGAATCAGAGGTGCCTTCTTGGAGAGATTTCAAACTTGGTAACCTTCCAGAAATGCTGCAAAAGTAATTTTTATGATAATTTTTACAAAAGTTTGCAAGTATAGGAGGGACAGAGTTGGAAGGTTTTTTTTCTTATTATTGCTTTGGACTGTTGGATAACAGAATTACTCAAACTATTAACTCAGCTTCAGGAGTATAGCTGATGATATTTATAGGTAACCTTGACTATATATAAAAATGTACTAATTCCAAGTAACCATAATTTATTGTTGTATGCTTACTTAATAGGGTATCTACAGGTCTGCGAGGGCACTTTTTACGCGTTGAATGAGCTTTAGTTAAAGTGCCCTGTAACAGGTGCCTGCTCTGGGCAGATCTAAATGTGGCCTACACACCTGTTCCTGGGCCAACCACCCACCTTCTCGCCTGCCATGCCTTGTTGTTAATTGATGTTAGTTAGCAGGAGGCTGCCCCTTACTGCCCCGATGCCAGAGGGCGCTATCTGCGGCTCCGTTTCCTCCCCTACACCGCAACCCACGTCTCGCTGATGGTACCAACGTTGTTTGTCCGGGCCTTGTTGTAATTTGGCCCCCGCGTCCTCGCTGGGCCCTCCAAGGCCCTATCTCACTCTGCGCCTTCCCTGGCACTTGGGCTTTCCGCAGCCCTGTCTGGCACTGTGCCCTCCCTGGGGCTTCTCAACACGGCCCCTTTCTCTGGGGCTGGGGTCGGTGCACCCTGAATGCTGCACCCTTGCTGGTGCTGGGGTTCCCGTATGAGGCTTCCTCCATCCCCTAATAGCCTCACCCAAACCACCAGTTACAAACAGCAAACAAAGCATAAGCCCCTAGGCTATAACATAAATCTCAGCCCTCTGGCTCCAACATTCTTCCCACCACACCAGGGGTGCCCCATCTCTCACCAGTTTCCAGCCGTTCGTGTATTCTGACCTCTTCCCTTTACTCTCTCCAGCAGAGCTCCTTCTCCCTTAGCTGCCAGTAGGGAACTCCTTCTGGCCTCCAGCCTGTGGTTTATATAGGAGCCAGGCCCTGCCCTTCCTGTCAGCTGACCAAGCAGGTGTGAGTCACTAGCTCCCTCCGGTTACCCTAACAACCAGCACCTGCGTAGTTACCCTGGCTCTACCAGTAGCAGGCACCTTAGTGCCCTGCTACATGCCCCTACCACCTTTTTGAAATGCAGGACACTGAACACATGAGACACTGCAGGTGTTTTAATTAGAGTGGCTCCTGAGAGCCACTCTAATTAACAAGCCTTCCCCCTCCCTGCAGTCCTGGAGCACATGTATAGGTGCCCTGAATTGTTAAAGCTGTGTAATAAATATGTGTTTATATTATAAATACAATGAAGTTATACATATTCTGAATATAAAAGTGTGACATTTCCAAAAAGACCATTTCATAGCATTATCCTATTTGCTAGTAAAACAGTAAGTCCTTAGTAAGATCCACCCATAATAATAACCACCAATTCACCAGCTACGCCAAGTAGCTTCTCTTCTCCCTTTGGAAAATCCAGTCTTTCTAGAAGGCATAAAGGTTAATAAATCTAAATTCTATCAACCAAAAGGGAGAACTGTCAGACTTGAGGGTGCCTCATGGATAATAATAGGAAGTTACAACTCCACTATTGTAAATAAAAAGATGTCTTGATAACAAAAAATGTTTTTAAGTTATCAATAGCGTGTGATAACTCTCAGAAACGGAGATATACTTTAGTCCACAATATATGCTGCATAATGTTCTCTGTCATGAAATAGAAAATTAAGTAGATTCCATTTCTGTCATAGGGGCGGAGGAGACTTGTTCGTGATGCAACACCTGCTAAAAAAGAAACGGAAGAGGATAAAACACAGGACAAGTTAAAAGACAGTAACAAAGAAAATAAAGAGGTAGATGAAACACCTGAGAATGCAGACAAGAAGGAAAATGAGACTCCACTAGGGAAAAAGAATACGCCAAAGCAAAAAGAAAAGAAAATGAAAAAAGAGGAATCTGATAAAGAATCTGATGAAGAGGAGGAGAGCAGGAGAGAAAGGTACATTGTTAACTTATACCTACTGTTGAGACTGTCTGTGCAGTGCTGCAGCAACACTGTACATCTGAGCACAAGGAAGGTTTGGGACTGGTCTGATATCTGAACTCCAGAAATGTGAAAAATGTGGGCTTTGATTCACTCACAATTTGTCCCTTCCTGTGTAACAGCATCTCCCTGAGCCAGCAAGGGCTGCTGTACTGATAAAGGAGGTCATCCTTGAGAAATGGCAGGCAGTGTTACTCATAGAGCTCTTCTAGGGCAGGCAGCTTTCTTATTGTGGGGGCTGTCCAGGAGTTTTTGTGACGATTGCCCAGTCGATATGCTTAATTAGTATGCTTAATCAGTATGTCCCAGGATGCTCAAGTTCTGCTGTCAGCTTAGCCTCACTTCTGGGACTGCTGTAAGCTTAACAGTGCACCAGCTGTAAGTAGTAGGCACTATGCACTGTTGCACCATACCTGTGGACGGACTTTAGCCACTGTGGGCTCACTGCATACTGGCATTTTATTATAGTAATGTGCACATGTGCCAGCTAAGATAGGGATCTCACTGTGCTAAACATTGTATAACCATAGCAAGTGATGGTTTCTGCCCAAATATAGATATTTAGAAGGAAATGCTATATACAGAATAGCCAGTAACGACTGGCAAATATACACTATTATTTGTATTAATATTTAAATGTATTATGAAGGACAGCGGGGAGGTGGGAAAGATGAATTAAGAACATGGGGAAAGAGATTGTGATGAATGAAAGAGAGAAGGATTGAATGAAGAGGACAAGAGAAAGAATATGGAAGGCACAAGGAGGGAGACTGACCACAAGAAAGGATAAGGGGATGGTGGAGCAAAGAGCCAGTCAGTGGGTAGAAAAATATTATCCTTAACCTAAACTGACAGGCAGAAATGTATTCAATCACTAGTCTCCAAAAAGTTAGGAAAGTGGAACAGGCCTTTTACTTCCCACCACACTAAGCCTGGCTGCCCTCTGACTGTGTCTTAATTGTTTAAGCTGGCTTTGCCACTTGGGATGTTGTTGTTCTTCTCTTCTAGTCCTTGTGGCTGGGGGAGCAGGGCCTACTTGGGGCACAAGTTGAGACTGAATCAAGCCTGATGTGTGTTGTTTGAAGCAACTGGAGAACGTGCTGGTTGCACCATCTCATTTTGATGCACTTGTGGCAAAAAACAGTGACTTCAAGGAAGGCTGTGCCATGCAGTTAAAAGAAAGACCTTGCAGAATAACACAGAAAGCAAAAATTCCATTCAAACATAGATACAGTGTGGGTGTACAGCAGGCTGCATAGGTATGTTAAATATCTATGGTGTCTTAAGTCTTTTTTTTTCTTTTTTTTTAATGGTAGGTAAGTGCCTTGTCGGTCATCTTCCCTTTTTGTTTAATCTGTTCCCTCAGCAAGATCTTTCTTTCTTGACTATGCCTTAGAATTTATTTTCTGTTTAAAAGTGAATTATGCTTTTTGGCTGTTTTATCTCTTTCTCTTGTTATCTCTGTCGCTTAGTATCTCTTTATCTCTTGTTATTAGTTTAAAGTTTTGCTTCACTCAAAATCTAATTTTTGTTTTCTTTTTAAAAAAGAAAAAGGTGGGAAACTATGCAGGTAAGTAGATCAGATGAGATGATGGTTATTAAAAAGACAATTTGGGTACACCTGCCCCTTATTTTAAACAGTAGATAAAATTATTAAAAGCTTCAGAGTTTTTTATTTCTCGTTAAAAGGCATTTGTTATAATCTTCAGTGACAATGCAAACTTAGCTCACCATCAGTGAGATGGGTTCTATAAAGTAAACCAGAGAGGATGCAATATTTAAAATAGCATGTCCAAGCAACTATATTAGCACTTAAACTTACAATCTCCTCGTCATCTTTTCCTGTTTTTGTTAGGCCTCAGAAGTATGAGGTAATATATTCCAACTGCCTCTCTTTCATCAGCATGTCCATTTCCAAAGGGTGACTTTTCAAACATTCAGATATTTATGCATATTATGGTTCATATTAAAAATGGTTTATGAATAAATCCTATGCATCGTTTTAGCACTTATTTCCTTTCTCTTTGCATAAATCCTGTTTTCTGATTTGAAGAAACTCTGTATGTTCAAGTTGCTTTTTATGTACTGCACTTATGAACCAAGGATATCCCTACTCCTTCCTCCTCATTTAGAAAGGGACTGTCTATCTGTGCTTTTGAAATCATCAGTCTTTGTCCCTAATCCATGGGTATTTTAAATATACCTTGTTACAGAGAGGAAATTGAAAACAAAGGAGAATCAGAAGGGGAAGATGATGAGGAGGACACAGAGCCCTGTCTAACTGGAACCAAAGTGAAAGTGAAATATGGACGGGGAAAAACTCAGAAAATTTATGAAGCCAGTATTAAAAGCACCGAAGTTGATGATGGAGAAATTTTATATTTAGTACACTACTATGGTTGGAATGTAAGGTAAGAATGGGAAATTATATCTAGGTACTATTTTTAAAGAAAATTCTTTGGATTATCTTAGTGGAAGATAAAGGGTAACAAATCACTGGGCACCATAGTAACATGGAAAAGTCAGATCATGCTAATGCTTTTTCATGTGTGTAACTTTTCTCACATACGAATAGTCCTGTTTAAGCTACTGGAATTCCTCACATGCCTCTGTGCAGGTTTTTAGCCAATCTCTTCTTAAAACTATGTAGTTTTGTTAGCTTCAGATGGAGTACTTATATCAGTAAATTGTAGTATGCCATAGGCAATGCATCAGCAGGGTATGTGGTGTCACGTGCTCCTTCCCTTTTCCCGCCCCCCCTTGAGATTTCTGCACCCACAGTGGGGCATAGGGCTATAGTCTGCCTGGATTGGGACCAGGCAGACTACAGGCAGGAGCCACCTCTGGCCCAGTGGGCGGGATCCAGAACAGGAGGGAGCGCTGTGCTGCGATGGCCACCAAAGTGAGGCACCCCCTGCCCACTTGGCAGCACGGGGTGGGGGGGGTGAAACTCCACACCTCTGTAGCTGGAAGCCCTGTGCCAGCCATGCCACCATAGCTGCCAAGGTGAGGCGCCCTGGCGGTAGCAGTGCAGAGTTGCGCCCCCCTGCTGATGCCAGGTGGGCAGGAGACACTTCACCTTGGCGGCCATGGTGGTGCAGCGCTCCCTGCAGCGGTGGTGGCAGCACCGAGCCTCCCCACTCTGCCCTCCTACACTAAGTTCTGCCTGCTGGGCCACAGAGGCAGCTCCTGCTCAGTGCCGGTCTGGCCAGGCTGCAGCCCTGTCCCATGCCCCACTGTGGGCACAGAAATCTGAGAAGGCATGTGCCCCCCTACCCTACCCTACCCTACCCTACCCTACCCTACCCTACACTTGACCTGTGCCTCTTCCCCCCATAGACTTACCTGCAGGGAGCTGCTGTCCACTACACTACCTGGCTGCATTGCTGGCCATATGCATGTGTGTGTGCACATCCGCACATGGCCCCCTGCCTCCGATTGCTCTCCACCAGGTTCAAGCAGGCCTTTGCAGGCTGGGTCTCTGCCAGCCTGCAAGAGAAACCCTGCAGTTTCCCGGGTTTTTTCCTTTAAAGGGGAAAATCTGCCTTTTTCCACAGGAAATGGAAAGCCTGGATCCCTGCTTATCAGGATAGATTATACTATTTTAAAGCATAAACAACTGTTTATGTATTAAACTTGGATGTTTAAATGAGCAAAATTGTGCTGACACTTGAATATCGGCTATAATTAAAAATAATATTTGGTAAAGAAATTTATGAATGGGGGAAAAAGCTGAACTTTGTAAATAGCTACTGAGGTGGGGAAAGGTCCCCCAAATGATCCTGCTAGGTTCCAGAAGAAATTCTTTATATTAAATAGAAGTTGTATTAATGGACCTTGTTACAAATGTAACTGCATGTACAATCAATGCCATATAACTTTAAAAAAAATCTAATTTCTTTGTGCTTACAATTTGAAACTGCCATCTCCTTAAGTTCCTGAGGAATCTAAGTAGACTTCCATCACCTCCCCCCAACAAATATCTTTTCACATCACTTCTTTATAGGTTAGCAATGCAGGAAAATTTAATAGGTACAAATGTGCCATCTGTACCTTTCAAAAATCTCTGTCAATATTTGTAATTGCCTTTTGCCAGAAGTTTTAAAGATTGCTGTTGCTGTTATTTTTACTAACAATAACAAAAATAAACTCCTGATTTTTGTATCATATTATAGTAAAACAGTTTTTAACTGCAATAGTAACAGTATGCTGTGTGTTTGCCTTTAGATATGATGAATGGGTGAAAGCTGATCGGATTATCTGGCCTTTGGACAAAGGAGGACCAAAGAGAAAACAAAAGAAAAAAGCAAAAGTAAGATTTATTGATTAGTAAACTACGTGTAATAATGCCTTCTGACCATGCGTACTCTTCATAACAATTTTATTTAGCTGCTCGCTCCCTAATCAGTTATTTTTAATATGTAGCACAAGAGAGGTAATTCTGACTCTGAGCACTGATGTATGTTCATAAAATGCCCTATTTTTGTTTTCAGAATAAAGACGACAGTGAAAAAGATGAAAAGAAGGATGAAGAGAAGCAGAAATCAAAACGTGGACGTCCCCCTCTGAAATCTACACTTCTATCAAATATGTCTTGCAACTTATCCAAAACACCTAATAGTGAAGGTAAAGCAGGAGCCAGAAGTGCAAGAAGTAATTTGTCAGATTGTTCACCATTACCAAATGGAACAGAAGGTATATCTGCTGGGAACTTTCACGATTGTTTAATTGACCATATATGGATGTTTGTGTAAGCACTAGCAAGGTAAATGTGTGTCAGTTTGAAAACTTAAACATTTTGCTGTGCTGTAAAGCAGCAGTTTTAGTCCCATGCAGTCAGCCAGCTTACTAGCAAAATATACCACTTCACGATTTTTGGTGCAATATTTATTCTATATAAATTAATTAATTTTGATTTTAGCAACACCTCGCAGGCAAACGAGACGTAGCTTAGGAATGTTTGATTCTGATAGAGGATCAAACGGTGAGTGATCTCTGTCCTGTGTGTGCTTTTAGAACCTTTTGGAAATGAGGTTTAATTTTTTTTTCCTGGTGAATTTTAATGCTGCTGATAGAGCTAAAGTGACATCGTTGGAAAGCAAAGTCATCTGTTTACCACAAAAAGCAAAATGTAATGGGCAATTGGTATTTGATCTTCCCAAGGGGTGTCCAACTGTTCAGTGGCTGGAGACCACTCTGAGAGCATGGCACAGACTCCCCAGGCTGCACACCATTTGGATGCCCTCCTGCTGCACCATGTCTGGACTCTCCTCCTGTACCCCCCTGCTGTGTACCCTGTGCGTGACCTCTGCCCCCTCATCCTGCTCTATGATGGGCAGAGGCAGGCAGCAAAAACTAGAGGAGGAAGGGGGAGTCCAGGGACATCAGCTGTTGTTGCAGCTTCAGTGATGGGGGGAGTGGCAGCTAGGTAGGAGCCCAGGGGCTGCAACTTAATCCCTCATGGGCCACCAGTTAGACAACCCTGATGCACCTTGTGTTCCCTAATCGCTGTCCCTCAATCCTGATTTTAAGTAGATACATTCCAGAGATAGAAAGTGAACTAGTGCTATGGTCATTCAGTCTTCAACCTTACTGCTGATGCCTCTAGCAAGGTAATTAAGTACAAGTGGTTGCAACATTTTTTTGATGGTGTGAACCCAGGTCCAGAAGAAATTGTAGTGAAACAGTCAACTCCTTTCATACAGTTTCCAGCAACATAATAATCAGGCAGCATAATAGTGCTTGTTGTATATAAAGCGTCTTATTCATACTAGTGGTTTAACAATGAAATGTCTGTATCCTGTTACTTGTTTTCTGAGCCATCCATTCTTTTTTGAGGTCAACTCAAAGGGAAGGAGATCTCTTACAACTGAAATCTTTAGATAGAGAACCTGTAAAAGCATCTTATCCTCCTGAAATGTGTTGCTTTTTGGGGATATAGAAATAGCAGAGTAATGTTAACAAAATAAAAAAGAACTTGCTTTCTATGGAATGGCTGATACCATGTATCCATAGCGATCTAAAATAGCACTAATAAAAATATTATAGCAACTTTTTTATAGTTGAAGTTGATGCAAAACCGGAACTGTTGAGTATTTGTTTGGCTGAAATCAGAAGTTGTGTTTTAACTGATGATCTTTTTTGGCATTTTTATCTTTTTGTGTTTGGCAGACTCTGACTCATCTGACAGTGAGGGAGATGAGAGTTCGGAAAAGACTTTGAATGAATTTTCTCCAGAAGTTTCAGAACCAGAAAAAAACGAAAAACTAATTGATGAGAAACCTGATGAAGAAAACCCAAAGATTTCACATGCATTGAAAGAAAATGACAGGACTCAAGTGCAACCATTAGAAACTTTGAAACTGGAAGTTGAAGAAAGTGAACAAATTGTTCAGATTTTTGGAAATAAAACTGAACAAGTGGAAGACATTAAAAAAGAGACTGAAAAATCACCTAAAGGGAAGGGGAGAAGGAGCAAGACAAAGGACCCTTCTTTAGAGAATGTAAAGATTCCAGGAAGCCAGGAAGAAGCAACAAATGAATCTCTCTTAGAAACTGAAAGATTAGATGTTTCTTCATTGGATACTAAAGAGTTTTCCACCACTACTGAAAATGAAATGGAACCTTGCGTAAAAGATAAGAAATTTTTGAAAAGGAAAACAGAACAGTCATCCCCTGATAAAAGAGTACGACTGGAGAGTGAGATGGAAGTGTCAAACATTGTGACTGAGAAGACCAACGAATGTCTCGGGACAGCAGAATGTAAAGATTTAAATGCTGAAGAATCACTCAGAACTGAAAATGAGGAAATGCCATCGTTAGTGGCAGAATCGGACCAACGGGTTCAACAGCTAATGAATGAAAACTTTGAATGTCCATCTGAGGAAAGTGGGAATGTTCCATCAAAGGATGAGGATGACACCATGCCTCAAATTGGACCAGAAACTCTCCTGTGCCATGAAGTGGACTTGGATGACTTTGACGAGAAGGAAAAGAGCGTCACTGAGGATCCAGTGTTGGAAAAGCCAGGCTCCAACACTCCACATTCAAACCCATCTGCCTTACCCTCTGCAGTCCAGCCAAACTTCTCAGTGGCCTCACCCCTTGCCCTTAGTCAGGATGAATCACGCAGTATAAAGAGTGAAAGTGATATAACTATTGAAGTGGACAGCGTGGCAGAAGAATCTCAAGAAGGTCTCTGTGAAAGTGAGTCTGCTAATGGATTTGAAGCCAGTACGACTTCAAGCATTTGTAGTCTAGCAGTACAAGAAAGGGACACTGGAGAGAAGGGTAAGTCTCCCTTTTTTGACAGATCCTGAAACCACCACTGTCTGTTTTTCCTTAGGGTGGTTGGTGTACAATCAAAAGGCTATTACATTAGCAGTTAGCTGTCTTTAAAGATCATTTTGATTCAAACCTATATGTTAGACCTTGCATATATTAGGGTGTGTTCTTCTGTTTTGCAGGTCAAAAAAGGCCAAGTGATGGCAATAGTGGGACACTGGCAAAGAAACAAAAGCGTACTCCAAAGCGAACAAGTGCTGTAGCCAAAAATGAAAAGAA